GAAACATAGTATATAGAAATATATTCTTGTACTCTCCCCTCAAATCATCTCTTTACCTACACATGTATGAAAAATAATATCTCAAGTTCTTATTAACATGAACAATGCTTCTGGAAATTTCTCACACCGATAGCTAAATAGGTGTTTTCTAGGACAGCTCTTGCTCTTGCTGACTCTGAATGTAGCTAAAATATTTTTCTTCTTCCACAAGGCCAAGTCAAGAATCTCAGCAACATCTTGCATTGGTTTTTGACCAACTTGTCTTTGAGTTGAAACCCTCCCACCTTGTTCTAACTGCACAAAGTCTGTTAAAACTGTTGGGCTGTCACTCTTCCATGGTTTGCTTGTTTTGATGGTTTTTGATGCTGCGATGTGTTTTCTGTCATGGGAAATTTACAGCCACATTTCCCTGCTTGACAGGAACACCGAAGCACTTGAGAGAGGGTGGATGCCTGCAGCTGCCCTATTTCCCTACCACTCTTCACAGACACCTTAACTGCATAATCACGTTGACACAAACCTTTAGAACAGAGAAACACCTTAAGATCTTGCCACTTCAGGATTTAAAGCAAACATACTCATTTTGAAATAATAGAGTGCAAAATTAGTCTGCACTTTGACAGGCCACAAAAATTGCCCCACACTGTTATGTTAAAGTTAAGGCTCCTGACAGTGGTTTATTAGCCTGGATACAATGGAATCCTGGTGAAGAAAAAGCGCTTTGCAATGTGGTGGGGGAACTTTTTTTTTTTGCCAGTGTTCAGCTTAATTCAGAGAAGGGCTACCCAACAAATTTTGATGCCAGAGACTAAGAATGAGATGTCTCCAATCCAATTCCACTTGGTGACATAATCCAAAATGGTACTTTTAACTTTTCTTCAGTTGTCATGTTGGACATTATATCCAGCATTATTTAAAGCAGAAGATGAACTGGAAGCACAGGAGGAAAAATATATGGCCTGTGGCTCTCCCTATCAGCCTTTTGCTGTCACCTCCCAGAATCCTAGGAGTGGGAAGGGAAAGGAAGAGGAAGGGAAGGACCAAGTGGCACAGAGGTAAGACGAGAAAATGAAAGAAAAGGTGTCCCAAACAAGAGCAGGTGCCATTTCCTTTTCTACTCCAGCTTCCTTCCAGACATGTAATTGCATAATTTGCAGCTAGGTGCTTCCCCCTTAGATATGAAGAATGGAAGATGTCTTCCTCATTTCAACAATAACTGTTTGGGAGAATATTTTTCTGGTGAGAATGTAATTTGTCCAATGAGGCATATTGGACAAACCCTAGAATTACTGCATTACGAATGAGATTAATCTCTCACTCTGCAATGCTTTGACCTTTGTATTTCAGAAGGCATCAGGTTCTCTTTCTCAGTGTGCGTGTTTGTGTGTATTATATCTGAGTCAGCGCAGAAAAAGCTTCGGCTCCTGGCTAAACAGAGAGAGTCATCTGGACAACTTGTTGTGAGCAGAATTTTCTGCTGTTGTGAGAATTTCCCCACAAAAGAATGTAGCATTGATCCAAATAACATAATAACATAACTGAATATGCTATGAAACTGGATCAATACAGAAGCATAAGAAACAGTGATTGCACTTTTATCCTTAGAGGAATGGATGCCATGCTTAACACAAAGCAAGCACAGGGCCTACTAAATGGAGAAAACATAATAATTTAATGTAAGCCCAAGATGGGGTTGAGGGGGGCTGGGCTGGGTGGGACTTGAGGATTATACGAGCAAGATGGTCAGATACATGGAGTCTTTCAGAGTTCTGGCTTTGTCTCATTGTCCTTTTAAGTTATGCTCATTGCCTCTTTTATTACCATGTGAATTTTCAGTGTATTAATAACCAGTGTAATAAGACAGCTAACTGGCTTTAGAATCGCTTTCCCCAAAGCAACACCAAATATAATTTTACAGATACTGCCTAATGGCATTTCCATTTGATTGGGCATTTTAAATGCTTTCCCCCCCATTTGTTTCTTAGGTTTGCTGACCCTCTATTGGCTGTTTTTATTGAACTGTATTTTATGTGAAAAATTATGTGTTCTTTACACTATCCTGCAGGGGTGTCTGCTGAGTGTGGTTAAAAGAAAGTAAAGATGGCAGCCAGAACAATGCAGTTGAAATGAAGCACAAAAAACAAAACAAAACAAAAAACAGGCAAAGCTTTCACAGCATCCACCTTGGATATTTTCATACAGCAAACCATGATCAATGTCAAAATGATGACACATGCATAATATCATCATTGCGTGAATGCTACTATTATGTATTTGTGTCCTGGTAT